ATGATTAGGAATCACAGAATCTTCATTTTCCATGTTTAATGTTATCATCCCTCGTCTATGTGATGCTTCGTAAACTTCAATTTGATCATTTATGAAGTGTTGGTGTTGAATTCTCTTTGTTGTTTCTTGATCTTTAGTATCAGGTAACTCCTCAATTATTATTAATTTTTGAAATTGTTTTTTGCTTTTTCAGTTCTTGCATATTTTTTATGTTTACGTCATGTAAATCCCCCAATATATTTTCAACTCTTGTGTGCTCTTCTTTCAGGTTTTCAATATTTTCAAATTTTTAGTTAGTATGAGTTCTCTTTAAAGTGTTAAAGTTAAACCAGTTAGGTTGAAACTACTTCGTTTTTGTTATGTTTCTGCTTGTGTGTACAGACATTGCATACATAAATTGTAATGTTTTTTTATGTGTACAAACATTAATGAATCAAGGTTCAAGAAGCTTATGAATTCTTGCTATAAATTCTGAATGGTAAACACAATCTCTCAATGCCACTTTACTATCCAATGTTATAACTACTTTTATATGTGGAAATACAGTCATGACTGATTTTGGAGATGAGTACAAACACATTGTTTTTGTAGATGCAGCAACAATTGAAAAGCCGGATTGAAGTCTGGTAAAGAATGGAAAGTAAGCCAACAATATTCATTGAGAATGGATTAGCTTTTTTTTTTCTGTCATAATGGATTAACAATATATTCTACGAGAATGGATTATTAGCAATATTCTATCAGAATGTAGAGTGTATTAGTGATTTACTTAAATTTCAATGTTTTTATTTGAGTTTTAAACATTCTTAATTTTTTCTTTAAGAATAAATGTAACTTTTAATCATTATTTATCGTATTTTTTCAGAATGAATGTAATTTATGTTCATTCTTGTATTTTTTAAGAAAGAATGTAATTTCTTATTCTAAGATATTAAAATTCTTTTCATATATAATATGTATTCATTAAAAATTATTAATTTTAATAATATATTTTCATAGTATTCTGTTGGAACTAAATGGTTTTTTCAAGATAATCATACACATTGTTTTAGAATGTCTGAATTAATATATTTATTATCCAAAAAATCAGATTCTTAAATTTAATTAGAATAAATTATTCCTTAAAATCTGTAATTTTCCTTTTTTAAATTTATGTTAATTGACTAAATTACACTTATAATAAAATTAGATGGTATTTTTCAATTATCTTTAATTCAATAATATGTATTTATCATTTTCTTAAAATAACTAAAAATGATTGGTCCACAATCAATCCTACATCCACACAATAGATAGTCAGAATATAATTATCTAAGCTTATTTATATATATATATAAATTGCAAAAATGGTCCCTGTGGTATGCAAAATTTTGGGGTTTTAGTCCAAACAGTGACTTTTTTGGATTGGTGGTCATTTTGACCATGTTTGCTTGTGGTTTTGGTCCCTCGGAAAACTGAAAAGACTAAAATGCCCTTTCTGATATATTTTTTGTATTTTTTTTGTTTAATTTAAATGAAAAAGAAAATAAATAACTAATTTGGTCTCTCTCTCTCTCTCTTTCTCTCTCACACACACACACACATAACACTAAACCCAAATATCCAGCTACTGCTATAGCAAATCTCGATCCCTCCAGTTCGTATCTCACCGGCCGAAGGAAAAGACCGACCAACTTGACACCGACCACCACCTCCCTCCGCCCTCTTCTGTCGAGTCACTCCAGCAATCACCGATGCCACTTTTTCCCTCCTTTGTCTTCGCCGGTAGAAGACCAAACAAAAGCATCAGAGGCTACCGGAGCTCCTCCCTCCGCCACCCACTGCCTCTTTCCCATCGACAAACACCACCACCACCAACGATGGTGTTGCTGTTGCTGGGACCACCATGAAACCACCTCCCTCCTTGTTTTTTTCTGTTGATCGGAGCAACCCATTGGTAATCGTATTGCTTTTTTGAGAGATGAAGACTGGTAGAGAGACTGGGACAAATCAATTGAAACTTATCCTCCTTCAATCACCCGAACTTGTCGAAAAATAAAATGATTATGGATAATCGATTGAAGCTTCTCTATTATTTCTCAATCATAATCATCAAACCATTTTAATCCACATCTGCAATGTCTGTATTTACCCAAAATCAGAATCGTATCTCTCTGTCGATCAAACGCCTCAAATCTCTAACATTTTTCTTCAATTTCACTTCGCCGGCGGCCGACCTCCTTCTTCCAACTTAAGCCGCTGCTAATATCTGCTCTCTTGTAATCTATTTTAGATTTTCTGCATTAATCTTTGTGAGCATATGTATGTATGAACTGATTTCATAATCCAAATTATGATTCTGCCAAATTTCTAAACGTGTTTTCGATTTCTGACTTGATTTCCACCGTATCTCTATCTAGTTCGATTTTAGAAAACCTAATTCAACTTAGTTTGACGAGTTTTGGTGTGTGTTCAATCTCGGGTGTAGTAAATCGTGTTTGTTGCTACAATACCATCGAAAGGGATCGCAAGCAACATCTTCTTTCTTTCTTCTTTTCCTGATTCGTTATGAAGCATGAAGGAGTCGATTTTTCTGGCGGTTCAAGCCTTCAATCGGGGTTGTGGGGGTTGAGAAGGGTAGCAACAGCCGGAGAGGGTGATGGATCATAAGGAAGAGAGAGAGAGAGAGAGAGAGAGAGAGAGAGAGAGAGGTGGGCCCTTTTTTATTTTTTTAATTGTTAAAATAAATAAATAAATATTAAAATTTAAGAATAATGAAAGAAAAATGAAAAATAAATACCCCAAGGGTATTATAGTCATTTCAGTTTTTGGAGGGACCATTTTCACATACAAACCACTCCAAAAGGACTACGAAACCAAAAAAGTCACTGTTTGGACTAAAACCCCAAAATTTTGCATACCACAGGGACCATTTTTGCAATTTTGTCTATTATAAATATAGTAAACTCATTCTCTTCTTGCCTATATTCTTATATTTATTAGATACAAATAACATTTAACACAAAAATGTTACTTAGGCCTTTAAACGAACAAGAAGAATACAAACGATGGTTGTTTATATTGGTTCATTTAATTTAGCCAAATAAACAAACAAACACGAACGGATAAACAAATAAGTTTTCTTATTCATGTTCGTTTGTTTAACAAATTATATTGTTCATGTTTGTTCGTTTATGTTCATGAACATACTAAATGAACGGAGATAAACAAATATAAGACAAAATTGTAAAAATAGTCCTTGTGGTTGTTAAAATTCAACAGTTTTGGTCCTAGAATGTTTGTTGGTGTATCAGTGGTCCAATTTCAGATCGTTTTAGAGATTTTGGTCCCTATGCACTTGAAAAGACTATTCTACCCCTTATATTTGTTATTATTATTATTATTATTATTATTATTATTATTATTATATATATATATATATATTATTGTTTTAATTAATTAAAAATAAAAGAAGGGGTCACCCTTATCTTTCTTTCTTTCTATACGACCTACTCCTACCACTGTTCACCCTCTTATACGGATAAATCATCATCAATATATTCCATCACCACCTCCCTCTCCTATCGCCACACTAAATCTAAGTTGCTGCCTTCAGAGATATGATCCTTAGAATGCAGTTATTGTTGGAGTGAAAGTTTTCATTTCGGAGCTAGGGTTAGGAGTCGAAAACGATGCCCACTTACACCACCACCCCTCTCCTCTAGCCCATTTCTTTCTTAATGTCACTACCAATGAATTTGTCGCCCCTGATCTCCAATACACCTCCTTCTTTATCCACCCTAAAACTTTGACATTTCTCCTTCTAAAACTTTGACATTTCTATGATGGGGTTACATTAAAGAGGAGGTAGCGATGATGAAGGTGGGTTGGCAGAGCTAAGGTGGGTTGGCAGATGTAAGCAAAGATTTCAGAATGAAGGTTAATGATCATCGATGACGATGAGGTTCAATCTGATGTCGTTGTCAATGAGGTTCATATTGATATCGATGGTCTGGTGTTGGCAGTGGTCAGATCTTCAAACGTTGGCTGCTCCATGTAAGGGTTTTTTGGGGATGAAGAACATAGCAACAGGTGGAGAGGGGTGATTGTATACGGGAGGATAAAAGGGGCGATTGGTTTTTTAATTAGAATAATTAGATAATAAATGAATGAAATTAAAAAAGAATTATTTAAGGGTAAATTTGTCATTTTAGGTGGAGTATGGATCAATACCACAAATAAATGGCAACCATAGGGACCAAAATCACTAAAAAGATCTGAAATTTGACTACTGATGCACCACCAAACGTTTTTGGATCAAAATCGTAGAATTTTAACAACCGTATGGATCATTTTTGCAATTTTGTCCAAATATAATTGAACATACATGCACATTAAGAAATGTATAATTATATAGTAATGCAATCAAACATAATTGAACATAAAATAAACCTAAATGAACAAACATAAACAAATGTAAACAAATAATATATTTGAACGAACTAGACCATTGTTTATGTTTATTCATTTAACTAAAAAAATTAGAATTTATGTTCATGTTCGTTCATTTATAGAATAAACGAACATAAACAAACATTCCATCGAACGGTTCATGAACTATTCATTAAACGTTCGGTTTTTTTACAGCGCTAATGTTAGTAACAGAGAAAATAACTAATAGTTTATATAAGTACTATAATATAAGTCACCCGATTAGCTAGGAGTGTTAAAATCAGGAACAATCATATACCTTTTTAAAAAGGGTCCTAAAACCGTTGAACAGATAAATATTGAACATTAAAAGTTATTTCGGACTTGGATACTCTAGCACATGAAAAAAGAAAAACTCATCACAATAAATTCAAGAGGTTGAAGGCACGTGTAATATATGAAAACACCTATATTAAACTTCAATGTAATTTTTGTTCTCACTATGAATATGAAATAATTTATGATTATTTTACACAACATATATTTGGGAAAATGCAGAAAAATACGTAACTTCAAGATGTGGACTCATTTCACCTGCCAAAAAACAGGCGGATGTCATCAGGATTAAATCTATGGCTGTTTTTGTTGGTTTGCTTTTCGAAGATGTGCCCGTATGTAGACCGCAAGAGATCTACAATCAGGGGGATTTGAAGAGTAGCAAAAGATGAAATCGGGAGGAAAGCTAATACACCTATCGGAGCAAGCATCCATAGCTTTTTATGACAAAAGACAATGAACAAGGTCGTGCTGAAGGCCACAATCATGGCAGTTGTTGATATCATTAACGTGCAAAGACCAATAATCAATCGTCTTGGTAAACTCACCAAAAAATCTTGCTCAGAAAAACGTCCTGTGAGGATGGACTGGAACATTAGTAATGCTGTAGTGGATGCAAATAGTGAGATTGCATCTGATACAGCAAAGATCGTGAAAGTAATATCTTTTGTAAACACAGGGATGCCTGTGTCTTGCTTGCTTCCACCTGGTACTGTGATTGCTGCTGCAAATACGATTGTGGTAATCAGTGCTGCAGTGATGCTGCATGATTCTGCTACGGTTTTCATCCACTTCTCTCCTTCCTTCACCAGATTTTCATGTTCCTTAGTGAATACCATATCAGGTGTCTCCATAAAAATGTTTTCTTTGGTAATGTATGCTGGAAAAACGAGTTGCGCCACTTCCTATAAAATTAATTTAACTCATTTATGCCATTAACAACATAAATAATAACTCCCTAAAATTTGATTGAGGGTGTACCTCACGCCATTGAAGCTCTCTTTGTAGTTGTAATGCTGCACCAGTTCTAAGTTTTAGTTTATGGGAAGGAGCTAATCTTCCAACCAAGTGCAACATATTGTTCTTAGAAGAATCTTCCATCATTCTATAAACACTCTTTCGCTCCCCAAGGATATCGATAAGGTTGTAGATTTTTTCTGAACGATGTATTACCGCTAACTGGATGATGTCATACCCACTTTTATCTTTGTATCGAATTGCTCCAGGGGATCTCATTAAAATCTCATCAACAACCTCATAAGCATCTTGACGTGCTGCTTCAAGAACTGGTCTGGCGTATAAGCGAGGATGATCTGTATCAGGGAGCTCTAACTTGTCTATTTTAGCACATACCAATTTTAGAACTTCTTTTGCTTCTTCCCATTCCTTCCTTTTCTTCTCGATATGCTTAATGGGTGCAACTAAAATTTAGATAATAATCAATTAAAAAATATCAAATTTATAGCATAAATTATATCTCGAAATCAATCGGCATAAGTGGATTAACTCTATATACTCTTACCTAGTCTTTTTGAAAACTTCCACAACGAAAAATAATACATAGAGAATGTAAAATAAACCATCGTCACGAGTAGGAGAATAAAGTTTAAGATCCAAAATAGCGCCAATAATGGAACTACAAAAGCACAAATGTTTATTAGGGAATTACAATTCTGAATTTAAATATATAATTAGTTCTTGAATTGTATACACATGTTGTCAATACTCACCCATTATTAAGATCAGTGCTACCAGTTGCAAAATATTCATAATAATGTTGTCAGGCATACCCCAGATGATTTCCATTAGGACATCGTAGAATTCTACTAATACATAAAACAAATCCTTAGCTCTCTTGACTATCCTTTCATAATTATCCTGCGGACCTGAAAGAGAAAAAGCATATTCAATTAAACATGCTTCCTTATAAGGAAAGTGAAACATTGTAGAACGTATAAACTAGATATAATTGTATTAGAATAATATAGTTACTGGATGGTAGAACAATTTTATTCTATGAGAATACTAAAAGAATAAGTTGTTTATATTAAAAATATCATAAAAATGCATTAAAAAAATACTTAGAACCTAAACCTATATATATATATATATATATATATATATATATATATATATATATATATATATATATATATATATATATATATATATATATATATATATATATATATATAGACACACATTTAGTAGATAAAACAAAAACATTTTTAAAATGCAAAATAATTGAAAGTTTTCAAAAAAAAAATCCAATATTATTTTCGGAATATATATTTTCCAAAAAAAAATACAAAAATATAATAAATACAAAAAAAATACATTTTTTACATAATTTAGAACATTCTAAAAATCATATTAGAAATGTACAGTGTAATATTCTATTAGAATATTTTACGTATTTTAAAAAAAATGGTAATTTTTTTTTACGTAAATAAGGTTTCGAAAGTAATAATTAACTTTTTTTTTTAAAATTTTTCTTTTTATTTTGCATTTTAAAATTATTTTTGGATTTGGTCTCACGGTCTCACAAAATTAGTATAGTGTCAAATGAACATGAACATATATATATATATATATATATATATATATATATATATATATATATATATATATATATATATATATATATATATAAACTCGTACAAACTTAAAAACGAATAACAAAAAGAAACTATGTCTAGGATATTACAAACTTACTTGGATATATAAGTGTTTCCCAATAGTCTAGCTCACTTGGAAAGGTCTTAGCTATTGCCATCAGGACATGATCGTTCTCCACAGCAAATTTAGGATACTTATTGATTAAATACGTTGCTAAATCTGCAGGCATATTCAGACGACTATAATCAAATATGCATGTTTTATTATCATCGTAAATATGTGATTTTTTTGGCTACTCACCATATTCCTTTGCAGAAACAGCGTTAACAAGAAGGTCGACGCCTTTTGTTACACCTAAACGAGATGACTTTTTCTTAGTTTTTCCATAATCGTTGGCGGCTTTCAACAAATATTCAATGGTATCAAGATGCATATTTTCATATGCTTTATCCAAAGGTGTTTCACCTCTATTGTCTGATATTTCCAACAAACGTTTTTCTTTTCTCATTAAGAGATCTGCCCCACGTGTGTTACCAACGATTGCAGCGATGTGAAGGGCTGTGCTTCCATCATCATTTTTCATGGTAGGTAAATCTTCACCTTTCAAGAATGATAACATCTCATTGACAAAAGAGTTGTGACCGATCCCAACCGCTATATGAAGCATCGAGTTGCCATCACTGTTGATTGCCTCTTTGATTACATTCTTGTCTTCTTTTATTATGGATTCCACTTCACCCCAACTCCCTTCCGTAATAGCTTGACGCAAATTTTTGTTGCGTAGGATCTTTTTGGCTTCTATTTTTGGGTCTTCTTCACGTTTGTCTTCTGTTTTTTGGTCTTCACCTTTTCTTTCTGTTAATTGCCTCGGTAAAATCTGACCCATTATCTTCTTTTTATAGTTTACTACTTTGCCCTTGATTTTCGTTTTCATAGATGTCGACACTGCTGTGTCTTCTGTTTCTTCTGTTGTTCTTTTTATCGGAACCACGTCTTCATCTTCATCTTGATCTTCAGTCTCTGTTTCTGTTTCTGCTGAAAACATATATATTTCTTCTGTTATTATTTCGAATTAAACTTTGTCTATGTCGTTTGTTTCCGGTTTCCTTTCTAGTTTCGTTTGAAATAAATATATATGGTTATTTTTTTAAATGAAATTTTCTAAGATGTGCTAACATGTGCCTAAGGTACACCTACAAACATTAACTATTGATAAATATTATCATAATTAAATATAGTTACTAAAATTAACAGTTTATATATATATATATATATATATATATATATATATATATATATATATAATATATATATATATATATATATATATAGACACACACTACTAGAAAACATTGCGTTTTCCTACGGAATATTTCCGTAGCTAATTAGCTATGAAATTGCTACGGATTAGCTACAGAATGGGATGTCTTAGTTTAGTAAAAGAATAGTTACGGATGCAGGTCCGTAGCTATTCCGTAGCTAACTAGCTACAGAATAGCTACAAATAGCTACAAATGCAAAATCTGTAGCTATTCCATAGCTAATTAGCTACGGAATGGGTACGGAATACATACGGATATTAATTACCTACGGATTAACTATGGAGTATGCTTTCCGTTAGAATTCCGTAGCTAATCTGTAGCTAAGTAGCTACAGATTAGCTACGGATTTTTCTTATTTTCAATTTTTCGGGCACAAAAAGTTGTTTTTTTCGCTTCGTTTTTTTCACACCTCTATTTTATATGATTATCTTTATTTTCACCAACTTGTAGCTATTAATATCGTTCATAAAGTTGTGTGCCCCTTCGGGATCAAGTACTCGTTTCAAAGTTTAACATTGTAATGCATATACTTTTCACCAACTTGTGATGAATTATGTTTGTATATGTATATTTATATATATATGAATGAGTTGTGGTATATATGTACATGTATATGTATATGTATACGTGTTTGTGAAATGTATGAGTACGTATTCATAAGCATTATAGTGTTAAACCATTAAACAAACAATGGATCCCTTATGTGCACACGACTTTATAAATGATATTAATAGCTATAAATTGGTAAAAATATAGATAATCATGTATAATGGAGGTGTGAAAAAAACGGAGCGAAAAAAACGAAGTTTGGTGCCCGAAAAATAAAAAATAAGAAAAACCCGTAGCTAATTAGCTACAATTTTTTTTTTTTTAATTTTTTTATTTTCGATTTTTTGGGCACCAAACGTTGTTTTTTTCACTTCGTTTTTTTTTCACACCTCTACTATACATGATTATCTATATTTTCACCAACTTGTATTAATATCGTTCATAAAGTCATGTGCCCCTTCGGGATCAAATATTCGTTTCACAGTTTAACATTGTAATGCCTATACTTTTCACCATCTTGTGATGGATTATGTTTGTATATGTATACTTATATACATGAATGAGTTGTGGTATATGTGTACGTGTATATGTGTATGTATACGTGTTTGTGAGATGTATGTGTACGTATTCATAAGCATTATAGTGTAAAACCATTAAATGAGCAATGGATCCCATATGTGCACACGACTTTATAAATGATATTAATAGCTATAAGTTGGTGGAAATATAGATAATAATGTATAATAGATGTGTGAAAAAAACAGAGGAAAAAAAACGAAGTTTGGTACCCGAAAAAACGAAAATAAGAAAAATCCGTAGCTAATTAGCTACGGAATTCTAACGAAAAGCATATTCCGTAGCTAATTAAAAAATGCATCAGAAATCCAATTTTAGAAAGTTGACCCTTTTTAGAAAGTTAACTATTCGTGTCTTAAATATGTAAGAAAATGTATCCAAAAAAATAATAATAATAAGACTCGAATAATAATAATAATAATAATAATAATAATAATAATAATAATAATAATAATAATAATAATGGAAATGGAAATGGTGAAAAGCAAATGTAGACAAAGTAGGTAAGGATGTGACATCCTAGCTAATTGGTAGTGTCGTTGGTTATATGCGGAGTCGCCTTGAGTTCGAGTCTTACCCCACCCTTTTTTTCATATTTTTTTGGCCTTCTCCAATTTAGGGTTTCATTTTTTTTGGCCGCCTCTGCCTCCATTAATCGGGCTTAAATGCCGATTTTTTTAATATCCCGTTCATTTCCTTCATTTCGTTTCCCTCTTCTTTATCACTCGGACGGTCGCACCTCCTACTCACACCCTCGCCTTCGATCTTCTCTTTCACTCGCTGTCATTTTCTTACCGGAGTTTGTTCTTTCTGCCGCCGCTGGAGTTACGTCGCTGTCATATCTTTGCCGTCGTCGGCAACTCCTTCCCGTCGTTGTCATCTACTTGTTATCGCCATCATCATCAATCTTTCAAGTATGTTTTTTTTGTTTAATTTCACTTAGGTTTTCGTTTTGGATTAGGATTCATTTATCGTCGTCACTAATTGCTTTGTTTGTTTTGAGTGTTTCTGGATGTCGGCTTCATGCATGATTAGTTTTTTTTAGGTTCATTTATAGCAATGCAAGTCAGGGGACTTGAGATTCAGCAAAAAAAATCTCTTTTTGTTCTCTTCTTACTGTGAAGATTTCGAGTGCAAGCTTAGAGTAGGTCTAAGTGTATCTGATTTTTGGTTCAATTTGATAATATAATCCAGCAAATGATTGATTTTCAGTTTGGGTAACTTGCTTCTTGATTATTGGTAGTAGAGTAGAATGAGGCTTGGCTAGAAAATGGTTTATGTAATCATTGCTTCTTTATAATTGGCTTTTTGATTATTGATTTTTTGTTTTTTTTTGTTTTTTTGTTTTTTTTGTTTTTTTTGTTTTTTTTGTTTTTTTTTGATATTGTGATTATGTTTGAGCAGGGGCTAATCAGTTAATCGGCACAATAGAATGAAGCTTGACTTTTTTGAAGGTTAACATAATCTCCTTGTTATTATTATGGTTTTAAAGTTATGGATTAAAGTTAAGTTGTATGTTGTTTTATAGATTAAATTGATATTAAACAAAAATACATTGCAATTATGGATTTAAAGTTAAGTGTATTGCTATAATTATAAACTAAAATACATTGTTATAATAAACTAAAGTACATTGTTATTATTGTTTAAGTATTGAATTGTGTTACTATTTTTTAGGTTGATAGGTTGTGTGTGCAAGTTTCTACCATGGAACAACAAATGGAAATGGTTGAGGATGATGGATATGTCTTGAAATTAATCCTGTGGTCCCCCGATAATCCACCCGAGGATGATTGATAGGTATTTTGAACCAATTGAATTTGTAATTGATATTGTTTGTTTGTTTTGCTAGTGCTTAGTTTGTATGGTATTTGGAATAATTGATTTTGTAAACACTTGGTATTGTTTGTGTATTGTTAGTGCTTATTTTTGTATGGTGTTTTGGACAATTGAATGGAATGTATCGAACTTGGTATTAGGGATGTTTTTTGGTGTATTTTATATGATATTTGGGACAAATGTGAATTGAATGTGGTATTTGAAAAAAATTGAAAATTTTTAAATTTTTAATTTTTTTATTTAAATAAAACGATGTTAGCTACGGAATATCTACAGATTTCCGTAGATATTTAGTTTCGTAGCTATTCAGTAGCTATTTGAATCCGTAGCTATTCCGTAGCTATTTAGTTTCGTAGCTATTCCATTCCGTAACTATTCCGTAGGAAATCCGTAACTATTTATTTGCGTAGCTATTCCGTAGCTTTTTTGTAGTGATTCTGTAGCTAATCCGTAGCTATAATTTAGCCACGGGCCATTATGCTACAACAAATTTTCTAGTAGTGATATATATATATATATATATATATATATATATATATATATATATATATATATATATATATATATATATATATATATATATATATGCCCTTACCACCAAAAACTTCTTTTTGAATCTCAATTAAATGTGTAATCATAAGAAACTTCCTTAAACATATTTAATTATAGGAGTTTTACAAAAACTGTAAGGAATTGAACTTACTAATTTAACTCATGATAAGAATTAGATAAATTAGACAAAATTTCAAGAAAAGTCCTTGTGGTATGTCCAAAAATGTTACTTTGGTCCAAACAAGTTTGGTCTAGTATCAATAGTTCAAAAGTTTTCATTTTGCTGCGGTTTTGGTCCAAAACTTTTTAAAAAATTCTCAAAATTAACGAATTTGCCCTTTTCTATTTGTTTTTTACTTTTCCTTTTGTTATTAAATTATTTTCTAACTAAAAAGATATAAAAAATAAAAAGAAAATATTTCTCTCTCTCTCTCTCTCTCTCACGTGATTGTGTTCTTCCCCAAAACACACATACACAAATACTGATTTTGATCAAGACCATTTCGATCGAATCATTTACGAAACTATCTATTCATCTCATCCATCTGAATCGAATCATTAATCAAACCTTTTCGACCAGCCTTCACACCTTCGATAAACACATCCAGTTCAACCAAATCGAAATCTATTTCAAGAAAATTCGAAACTCGTCAAGTAATTACCTCCGAAAATAACCAAACCTTCATGATTCTTGTAGAGAACATTTATCGGAGTCGACTTGTTTAGTGTCTTCCAAGAAAGGATTCTTTTCCATTTTGATACAACTACATCTCATTCAAGTTTCTTCCCTTAAAGGTTCTATATCATGTGCCTTTTAAAATCCTCGGAGACGAAGTAAAAGGTTATTTAGACACGAAATACTTGTGTGAGTCTGGAAACCTTCGAATATTAAGAAGAAATAAGGAAACCTTCGTATCTCACTCAAGTTCCTCGTAGATGAAACTTTCCTTCACATCTTCTCTGTTTTGCCCATTTTAGATGAATATTTAGAAATTAGGTTAGATTTTCAAGATAAAGGTGAAAAATCTTGATCAAAATAGAAATTTGGGTTTGATTGGGGAAGAAAGATAGGGATGAAGGAAGGAGGTGGGGGAGGTGGCGATAGGGTGGTTTATAGTGACGTGAAAGTGGGTGATCAACAAGAAATCAAGAACAGAAGTGAGGAGCTGTGGATGTTTACAGTGACGCTACCTCACTGGTGGTTGTGGGCGGCGACTGATAACGACGAACTTGTCTTCTTAGGAACATATTGTGCTTCATCAAGATGGTTACTGGAGTAATGGAGCTTCATCAGTATGTGTGTATGTGTGTTTTGGGGAAGAGCACAATCACGTAAGAGAGAGAGAGAGAGAGAGAGAGAGAGAGAGAGAGAGAGAGAGAGAGAGAGAGAGAGAGAGAGAGAGATTTTTTATTGTTTTAGTTAGAAAGTAATTTAATAACAAAAAGAAAAGCAAAAACAAATGGAAAGGGCTAAATTCGTTATTTTTAAACGTTTTTGGACCAAAACCGCAGCAAAATGAAAACTTTTGGACTGTGATGCTAGTCCAAGCTAAATGTAACATTTTTGGACATAACACACGGACATTTCTTGCAATTTTGTCGATAAATTAACATGTTTAAGGAAACAACTTTAGATGACTACCTTTATTATTATCTATCTAGTTGTAAAATAAGATATTCTTTTTGGTAAAGGTATCATATCAGATCATGTTAAAGCATCACCTTAGTGCTAAGACTAGTTTAATTATACTTTTTAAGATAGAATTACAAATTTTATATGTACTTTATACGAAATCCCAAGCAGACATGTTGTAGTTAGTTGTTTGCAGTTGGACTTAATATTAATATGCAAATATATTAAGTCTACGTGATTGAAAATGTAAAATGGTAAGCATAGCCCTACATCAATATAAATCAAAACCAATAGAACAGCAAACTTATACGAGTATGCAAGTTGTGTTTATAAAAGATGATGCAAGTACTGTGATTAAAAGCATGAATTCATTATGCACGCCCTAAGTGGATGCATACATTTACTTGTAAGAATAGTTAGTCAAAGGTTCATATGGATGGACTAAGAAATAAACATATTAATTACTACTTGTGTTTTATGCACCTTAAGAGATATATATTTATGGATGGACCAAGGTAAGTGAATATTAATAGATGTTATTAATACATATAATTAAGGTTTACATTTATTCATACAGGAGAAGTAATTAACTAGCATTCATATTTTCATTATAATGTTCAACAAACTTGACAACTACTAAAATTTTGTTTATCTAACAAGATGCTAAAGTGCTTCGTAATTGTATATCGAACATGTGCACCAAATTGATCATGGTGTGGAAATTGTAATTTTAAAAGCCTATCCATGCATGTGAAACAACCTATCAAACTATAAGTTCATATTAAGAAGGGCTGATTGTTAAAAATGTTGTGAATTTTAGTTTAGAATTAATAGCCAGAGAATACCTTTTTGAGGACTTATTATAGTGGGATCATAGAAGTAACTTAGTTTGTTCCAAACATCTTTGGCTGAATCAAGATCGACAACAATGTCAAGTAGCTCTTTGCTAATTGAACCGAAAATCCATCCTTTTACAAGGCTGTCAAATCGGTTCTTGAGGTCTGGGCTCAAAGCTCCTGGTTCATATACAATGGCGTGCACATTGTAACTCTTCAGGAGGCAACACATCTGCTTCTCCCATAGACGGTAATTGTGCTCACTGGAAAGTTTCACTGAAATGAAGTTAGAAACATTTGCATTTAATGCATATAAGTACTCGTAGTCTTGTATTTGTGATCGTGCAGAAGCATCAGAAGAAGAAGAAGAAGAAGGAGGAGGAAGAGGAGGAGGAGGAGGAGGGTTTGATGGGCTTGCCATTTGAATGGAGAAGAGGTATGTGTGGGTTGCATGTTGATGAACTTCGTCTTCATGGTTTATATATAGTGAGTATAGCAGGGTTAAATATTATATTCGATACGTGAATTAATTAGTCTCGGCTTTATCTTTTTTTTTTTTTTTTTCTTTCACTTTTTTTTTCCCTAAAGATATTCCTACGTACGTACATAAACAGAGGAGGGCATTACTAATTAATTTGTTTAATTTTTTTTTACAACGGCAGAGCATATACCGGTCAAAAAATAGACCCAGCAGGGAATTAGAGACAGAATATAATGTTTACCCCCGCTTTACAGTCTACTAAGCTGCACTAGTCCATCTAATAATCCTGGAAAGTAATCGCTAATTACCACCAATAAATACTATATCTAAGAGCATCCATACTCCATTCAAGTCATGGAGAGTTGAATAGATGGAGAGTTGAATAGGGTGCTAAGTAGAGAGAATGTATATTTTCAAATCAATTTTTAAAAAGAAAATAAATTTGCATTAGAAATCCATCCATTCAACTGTCAATGAACATTGAATTTTATACTCTCTCTTGTATATTATATTGAAATATATTAATTGTGGATGCCCTAACATACCAAGATCGAACAAGTATTTTTTTTTGTTATTCTTTTTTAAGGGGAGGGACATATGGTTTCTCACAGGAAGATATCTTCGATGTATTCCATAGTATTCGCATTAGGTCCACTCCACTTTATCTTTTTTCACTCACTCTTTTCTTTTGTTCATGAACGTGAATAACGATGGGTATTCATTTTTATATTTAAAATTTAAAAACAAAACTGTAAACTTGGTTGTGTGGTTTGTAAAAAATATAGTCTCTAAAAGATTTTGAACATGCGTGAAGATCCAAAATAAAACAAATTATATATCTTGCTTTTGTTCCTGAAATAGTTAAAAATATAATTTTCTCCATTTTAATATATATATATATATATATATATATATATATATATATATATATATATATATATATATATATATATATATATATAAACACTTACTTTACAAATTAAATAGTTTAAAAAAGTCTCTCTCTCTCTCTCTCTCTCTCTCTCTCTCTCTCTCTCTCTCTCTCTCTCTCTCTCTCTCTCTCTCTCTCTCTCTCTCTCTCTCTCTCTCTCTCTCTCTCTCTCTCTCTAACGCATCAGGCAAAAAAAAAAAAAAAAAAATAATAACACCCCACCCACCACACCCCAATCATCTTGTTCCTCATTTGTCGTGTAACTTAATCTACACATATAAACATAATCAAATTTGAAACACACCCGCGACTAGGCGTGGGCAAAAAAACCGGTTCACAAATTGAACTGGTCATTTAACTGAAAACCAGTTCATCCCCGAACCGGTTCTCTAATGAACCGAACCGCCGAAAAACCGAACCATCGGTTTATACCAATTCGCATTTCCAACCGCTGGGACCGGTTCGGTTTACTACGAACCAGTTTATAGAATCGGTTTTGAACCGGTTTTTTGAGTTCAAGCTTTCTGTCCGTTTTTTGTCATTTACTAACGGTTATATAGCCGTTTAAGGCTGTTACACACTCGTTTTTGGATCCCTTTTGGCCATATTCACCAATACTTGATAGTATAAATAGCTATTAGATGTTTTGGCTTAACCAAACCTCAAAAAACTTCTCTTAGATAAAAAAAACACTCTCAAGTTAAGCAATGGATTCGGCTTCGGTTGGTATTGGAGATTCATCAAAGAATCTTACCGTTGTTAGCATCAAAGAAACAAATAGAAATTCGGCTATTTGGGACAATTTTGATTTGTGTGTAATGTCGAGCGGTCCAAGAAAAGCGCGATACAATAAATGTGGTGCTTTTTTTCAATGAAGATGGGAATTCGACATTGAACACTCATATGACCAATAGATGCCCCGCGGTGAAATTTGGGCCAGGACATAATCAAACAATGGCGAATGATACAACATTGTGGAGTTACGATTTGGCTAAAGTTTTGGGTAGGACAACGAAGTTCGTGACTCAAGAATGCTTGCCTTTTGACCACTGCGACAACAAACGATTGGCTTCACTCATCCAAGATACTCTCCAACCACGATATTGCCATGTGTGTCGTACTTCTATTAGATGTGATTGTATTGAAATGTGGAAACTTGCAAAAAATGAAATGATTTTAGGATTTCAATCTTTTGAAACCGATTTCAATTTAACTTCTGATGTTTGGATGGCTCTTCCTAGTTCACTGGATGCGTATCTTTGTGTTACCGCTCATTGGATTAATCCAAATAATTGGGTAATGATGAAACATACGATTACGTTTGAATTATTTGAGTATCCGCACACCGGTAAATATTTATTTAAAATTTTAGATTGTGTGCTCAAAACTTATAAACTAGAAGGAAATGGTTTTTCTATATCTTTTGATAATGCATCAAACAACACCATCGCGGTTGGACAACTAAAACTAAAATATAAACCGATTTGCGATGGTGTTTTTTTCATAGTCGATGTGTTGCACATATCATTAATTTGGCTGTGCAAGATGGACTAACTAGCATTGAAACTATAAAAGATGGCTTCAAAGACATATTTTTAATTCAAAGACATGTAATTTTGTGCTGATGTGAATGCCCTCTTTATAGGTTCGACTTAGGAAAATAATACCCGCTGGAACTCCACTTGCAAAATGTTTGAATGTGCCTTACGTCAAAAAGATACTTTAAAAATGTTTCATGACAACCTTGCGGACCGTAATAACGTTATGGCTTATCCATAATCAAGTCGGGATACAATCAAACTTGTTACAGACATGCTTGATGTTTTTAAAAAAGAAACTACTTTTTTATCAGGGGTTTATTATCCTACAAGTTGTTTAGTTTTAAACCATTTTTTTTTAATTTGTGCGAAAATAAATGAGTTTGAAATGAGAAGCATAATGTTTGCTAATATGATTAAACCAATGAAAGCAAAGTTAAAAAAATATTTTGAAGAAATGTCTCCCATTATTTCTTGTTCCGCCGCTTTGAATCCGACTCTAAATGTTGGGGGGTTGAGATTTTAATTGAAAATATTTGTTACGATTTGGGTTTAGTGGATAATGACATGGATTAGACATCAAAGGAAGTTTCAAAATTTAACAAAGTTTTTTCAAAATTTGTTTGAAGTTTATTTAACAAAATATGGTTGAACAAACATTCATGACATGATGCAAAATATGGGGGCATCCGAATCCACTTCTCACCAAAATAACGAAACAACTCAGCTCTATAATACTTTGAGGAATGAGAATTTTAAATGAGCTCGGTCTAACACCCCTAGTAGCGAGCTCGGAAGGTACATTGGTTCCGATTTCTTGTCACAAATGAGTGTTCAAGAGTTTGAAAATTTTGATATTTTGGCTTGGTGGAAAGGAAAGGTAACCTAATTTCCGATTCTAGTTGTTGTGGCCCGTGATATACTAAGCTCCCAAGCTTCTACGGTAGCTTCGAGTATGCTTTTTCTGTTAGTGGCAAGGTTATATCGCCAAGAAGAACAAAACTCACCCCTTTGTCGGTGCAAGTGTGCATTTCCTTTAAATGCTACCTTGATAGTGTGGAACAGATACAAGACATTGAAGTACTAGAAGGTACATCGTTGTATGCCGAAACACGAGTACATGTGGAAGAAGTAGCAATGGGAATGTCGGTGCCACTTACCCTAGAAGAGCTCAAGTATGAGAGATGACTGCGCAACAATATGACGGATGATAAATAAATACAATTACAGCAGACTTGGAATGAAGACTACGGCGACAACAATGTTTTATATTTGAATATGTATTAGTTTGGCAATTTGAATGTTTTGTGTTTTTTTGTTTGAAGTTGTATTGACCCGAATCTTTTTCCTAAACGTTGTTTAGGTTTTGTAGTAAGGTTTAGACTCTAAAAACGCTTGATTTGGTTAAAAAATGAATGAGTTACAATTCCCGCAAGGAAGCATGTCCATTCAATTTTTTTTTTTGTTTCAGCAATTAAACGTAATATAAGTTTGTTGTTCAAATGTGCATCACTCACTCAATTTAAGTTTTATTGACGTAAATCTTTTTCCTAAATGTTGTTTAGGTTTTGTACATAAGTTTAGACTCTAAAAACATTTGATTTGGTTAAAAATTGAATGAGTTACAAGTCCCGCAAGGAAGCATGTCAAATCAGAAATATTTTTATTTTTTTGTATTTTTTTTATGTTTCAGCAATTAAACGTTAGATGCGTTTGTTGTTCAAATATGCATAAATCACTCATTTTAAGTTGTATTGACCTAAATCTTTTTCCTAATTGTTTTTTAGATTTTGAAGATAAGTTTAGACTATAAAAATGTTTGATTTGGTTAAAAATCGAATGAGTTACAAGCCCCGCAATGAAGCATGTCAAATCAGAATTTTTATTATGTTTCCGCAATTAAACATATGACTCTTTTGTTTAATCCGGACAACAAACCGAATGAAGATGATGACAAACAAAAAAAGTTGTCATTTACGAAAGCTCCTAATGGTGAGGTCCATGTATACACATGGAAACATAATGATACGAGGATCCAACTTGTCTTACTAGGTCTTTTCACCATCGGGGAACTACCCTTTAAATTCATTGAAAAAGAGACCTTCGTAGAATTTGTAAACGCCCTCAATGGTAGGATGAAATTGCCTTCAAGGCATAAAATTTCTCGTGATGTTGTGTCCTTTAATTTAATGGAGAGGCAGAAGTTGTACAAACATTTGAGCAACCGCAAAACAACCATCCACTTAACAACCAACACGTCGACATCCTCGTATCAAAAGATAAATTATATGGTTGTCATGACCCACTTTATTACTGAAGATTTTATCATGCACAAAAGGGTAGTCAACTTTAGAGAGGTTGATACTCACAAAGCTAAAGACATAGCCTAGGAGTTTCTAATTTGCATAAACGAGTGGGGCATGAAGAATGTCATGACGATAACCGTTGATAATGACAAGAGGAATGAAGCGACAATCAACATCATTGTAAACGAACT